ATTTTTGCCTTTGGCTCGTGATGCGACGAGTCTCGAACTGAGACTCTAATGCAGCAAACCAAACCTCAGGGTCGTGGGGGATAAATGATACAGGTCGAAAGTGAATGGCCTGTACGTCTGAGTCTATAACATTAATAGTATTCTTGTCGCTATCCGTCATGTCGTGTATATTATATATTAAAAATTAATATGAAAATATACGACAGACGTGGATAGATAAATTATAGACTCACCAAATTGGCTTCTTTGGAAGATTTGACCAGAGGTTGAGGCGTGTTCCAAACTTTGGGATCACCAATTGTAGCGTGGCGTCGAGTTGAGATTAACTATGAACACCGCTACCAAGAAACACGTGCCAGATAAATCAGAAGGCGAAGATCGAACGTAACCAGATTTATTTCGTTGGCGATCTCGTGGTATTGAACGAATACCGAGATCGTGCCAAGAAATGGTACAAGTGGAAGCAGAAGACAGGAGTACGTGCGAACAGTACCAAAAACCGCGGAACAATGAGAGAAGGTAATGGAAGCACAAAATGGCTATAATTAGCACAGTTAAACAAAAGCACATTAAAACAAACACTGGTACAGTTGGTTATAATAATAATTGTTTTTATTAAACCAGTCGTGTTCTCGTGATAAATGTGAGTCACTACAAGTTCATGAGAACCAAAACCCGAACCCTTAAACCAATAAAACTACCAACTGTTGTATACATATCAGTCGATTGTGACAGTAAAGATCGGTGGGTTGGAGTTAGGAATAGAAGCACAAGTAGCACAGTCTTAAAAACGCTAAAAACTGGAAACATCAGACCAAGGTTCGTTATTGAATGTTCTGGTAGCCGGCAGCTCAAATATGAGCCAACCCAGAAAATCTCCATGATTTCATGAACAAACCTGAGCCTGCAAGGCAGGCAATCTGTGCTCTCAAAGCTCTCAATAGTAAATATCTCACTAACGCCAACAGAAATTTTTCAGGGAAACTTGGTTGACTGATTAAAGCGGGTGCTCACAGACGCAAAAGGTTTTTCAACTTTATTATCGGCTGAACTATTCATCTAACGTCCGTGCAAGTGCCAAGAAAACTAAAATCCCTTACCTCAGAAAGTTATCAGGATGCGACAACATTCTCCCTGTTATTTGGAACAGCATGCAAAGCCATCGGCACGTCACCGTGTGACTTGCTCAAACACTCATTAGTGTTGTAACAACTACCAAAAGAATGAAAAGACTCTACTCCCTCTTCATTCTTTTAAGGTAGAGTAAGAAAAGACCCATGGTGCCGCAGACCAGTTGATTATACTCCCAATACTGTCGAAGGTTATCAAAGGACGAGTCAATGGCTAAGTGAGGGGATTGATGTGCATAAACAACGTTCTTCATTAACCCCAACACAGATTCAGTTACGGCAAGTCCGAAGTGTTTAATCTTTTTGAAGCATAGGACAGCTGGACAACCTGCCAGAAGCAAAAGATACCGGTCCATTTTGACCTCGTGACAGCGTTTGATACAGTACCATATACTTTAAACACAGATAGCGAAGATAGGTTTCAGTGATCCATTTATATCCTGGCCCTGAAACTACCTAGAGAACAGGCTGTAAATAAAGTGCAAATGAGGTAGAGAATCTTGACGTTAAGAGTTTGACAGGAGACCATCTTACGTACACTCCTCTTCCTGATCTATGTTAATGATCTTCTTGATAAAATCGGCTCAGCGGCATTATTCTACTAGGATGACACAAAAATATAGCCTTATTAAAATGAAGAAAGGTTTTCTCCTCAGTATTGCACATCCACGATTCCACACACAGAACCCAAACCCAGGGTTTTGGTCGCGCGCAAACACCTAACATCTAAACTGTTGAGTCGGGATCCTATGGTGGTAATGTTTAACTTCAACAAGTCCATGATACTGCCCGATATTTTTTCGTTTTCTTTGATGGAGAACTGCCTTTAACCCGACTGGACTAAACTTCACTCGTTGTAGCTTCCTACTTTAACTCCGATAATCGACTCTGGAAGCTATTCATCAGTGAGGGCATGATAATTTTTGGTATGTGGTTGTGGAGATTGTTGAATTTCACTGACATCTCATTATTTTTACATTGCAGTGAACCAATCTCCTTCATAGTAGTGGGATAGCTTCTAGTATCCAGAGACCTGAAATGCAGTCAACTGGACATTACCAAAGACTTGGAAACGTATCATAAGAACAAAATATTAGTGCAAACATTCCAATGAGTGGTTTAGAGGTCAACAAAAGCTAAATCAGCTAGTTACCACACGCTGTTTGATCCAAAGGTCGGTGTATCACTAGTTCAATATTTGACGGCCATTGTTTTATCCTGGTGAATAAATATACCTTATGAACGGTATTCCAATAAGTTCTACTCTATATTCCTTAACTTCGTAGACGGTATTCAGTGTGATATTTGGACGTACAAAAACTGAAACTCTGTTCTACCACACTAGTTTTTAGAAACAAACATTGGAAAGCACATGAATCACCTGTAAATGGCTATCAGCAGTGTCTTAGCAGTAATTCTCAAATTCCTGAGTCCTAAACATTAGTGTTTCCACCTTAATAATTTATATACGATGAGTCACCAAGTCATTTTTCCAGAGTGACTAGTTTTACTGAGTAGGATCACAACAAATATCTCGTCAAAATCTACTTAAACACAATCTGATTGTGTGTAAGAAATCAATTTCCTAAATGAGTTCAGTGCAAATTTTCATGAAATATTTTTACAGTCGCACTTGTTCGCTGCAAATAAGCTACTCCCATGTTTTCCATTTGATCCCAGAAGAATTTAAATTTATTTTTATTATCTCTGAATTCTTTATATAAAGCCTATGTCATGTATTCAAAGTACAATTACTAAGCATGAGTATAAATACTTCATTCTGTCTTAAGAAATACTTATCTAAGCATGATGAATAAAATCTCTTACTTTAGTACAGGTTTAATTAAATTTCAGATATTCTCATGATTATCATGCAGACACTTATTGTTAAATGCTTAATGATACAGAATAAATTGCGACGAGTTGTTCAAAAACAGATGACTAAAATGATGGATACTAGAGATCACGGTAACTTAGTAACTAGATAACGAATTAATCCATTCACTTGTGACCGAGTCATTTGAGCAGATTCGAACAGTGTGTCTCATGTTTACTACATAGTCTCTTTTAGAAACAGTGCAATATTCAATTACAAAATCACATGCTAGTGGGCTGAACAAAGTTATTTATTTAAAGCATTCTTTTTACTTATGATATATATCTATTTGTTTTTTATTACACTAAACTTGAAGGGTCTTCTGTAATTTGATTTTTAGGACGTATGGTAACCTAATCGTTCAGAAATTTGCACTGATCTTAAGTATAAAGTTAAAATTGTAACTGGTTATCTTTAACGAACACAACCCTTTCAGTTGATAACATTTTTTTTTCTCAGATTTATTTACAATACAGTAACAATGCTATTTATCAACCAATAACTATTTTGTTCATAAATACTCGAAAAAAGTAGACCGGATATCACTGACCTCTAAAAAAATTATTTCAGCTGTTGTGTTAGTCATTCTACCATAAATTAAATTATGCCTGTTCATTGTATTGCTCGCAGACAGACAAAAGGTTTTTCAAAATAGGTTGATCAAGTTTCAAAACTAATCTTTTACAAAACGTTCAACAGAACTAACTCATAGGAAATGTTTTAATTCATGTGAATATTTACCTCATTTTCCATTTTACCAAGCTGTGATAAACGGTTCTTTTACTTTAAAGATTCGAGCGTGAAAGTAAATAAACTGATGTTCATGTTTACATTCATGGTTATTCACTAGCAATGTTTCGTACATTGAGAACCCACATGAATCAGTGAGTCATTAAAAAAAGACAGAATACAAAAACAGAAAATGTATTTAACAATATTAAAGAAAAACAAAAATGATCAACTGACATGTAAGTAAATATCAAATAAGCACACTCTAACTGTACTTCATTCATTTTATAGCTTTCTTTGAATGAAAAGTAATATCGAAAGTCTGAAAATCATAAAAAAGGTATTTAATTTAGTTTGTGGAGTTTCGAAATAATGTAAATATATCATAGGATTATTACTGTTTATTAAAAATTGATATTGTGATGAGCTTGCAGAATCAACAGATATTGTTCTGCTAATCTCATTATACCGTCAGTTAACACAGTGATAATGAATAACTTCCAACCACTGATTATTCTATTTTAATGATGAATAAGCTTTGATGAAACTGTCTTCTATGAGCTTTGTGGTGCAGTTGTGAAGCTTTCGTTATCTATCTGAACAAGATGAACAGCACAAAATTCAGATAAAAGTAAGCTAATAGAGTTCCTCTATTTTCAAGCTGTCAACATTAAGTTTGATTGGTTTTTGTTAACAATGGTCCTGTGACTATCTGCACATTTATATTGATTTCCATCCGTTTTGACCCTCTCCTCTCTTATTCTCAATATAACTGCTTACGATGTTTCTAACTAATTGATAATTTAAGTCTATTTTAATATGTTTAATGCCCGGCCAGAATGTAAAGCTTTCAAAAACGTTTTCGACATTTTATATGTTGCCTCGAACTAGGATTTCAACGTTTTCCCAGTCAAGCATGTGTTCGCACTTGTCTGCATCTGACGATGTAAGCGAAGAAAAGGTTTTAAGGGGATTAAAATTAATAAACAAGTAGGTGGGGTTCATAGAAATGTGAATATGAATGACGATTTTCAAAATAGATATAGAATAAACATAACGGTTATTTATTTCCTAGAGACAGTGGATGTTTTGGTTTGTTTTCGATGACACTCAACTCACTTATTATGCGCTGTTATCCGTGTCTTTTCAGATCAGAGCTACAATTCAGTACAGCATACTTTTATGTAAAGAAATACATAAATCACTTACCGTTAGTGACAAATGTTCAGAAGAATACGGACCAGATGAACACCGACAAAATCTCTTCAGCGCCATTGTCTGTTACGCCTTCCTTCACTGATAAAAGGAAGTACGTCGAATTTGATTTATTGAGAAACATAAATGTAGTTTACATGTTGAAAAATTACCCTGTTATTACCTATCTGTTTGATCATGGAATATAATTATTCTTCTAATTCAGTATCGTTTACAGAGTTGTACAGTCGATCCTCGATGTATTGATAACCTATCAAATATATCTTCGAACCTCCTTGCTTCTGTCTTTCGATTTCACTTGGTGTGTACGATTTATAGTAGAAGGTGTTATTGGTTAAAGCGTTGTCAAATTCCAAATACCTGTGGTATCTTCAACTGAAGAGTTTATGAACTTAGAATATAAGTAAAGACAACGAGTGAACCTACGTATGTCATTATAAACAATTCTGAACTATGTTATTCAAAGTCTCTAACCATTTGTGACGACTATCGCCTGGACCACAGTCAACTAATTTGCATCTGTTAAAATGGGTCAGTTCAGTTATAAATGACTTCATGAAATGAAGTCTTTGTTTGGCTACCACTAGCTTTCTTTCGAACTGCTTTCATATCAGACAACGTCGCCCATCGAGATAAGCGGTGGTTGAGCAGACGTAACACATGACTTACCTATCCCGGTTTATGAATATTTACTACCTTACCAATCAATTTTGTCGACTTTACCACACACCCTGTTCCTACCCAACTTATTGTTGACTCCAGGATCCCAAAATAAACGAGAATTACTTGAAAGGCACCTATGGTCGAATACTAACAAGTTGTAAATATCCTCTGTTTTCAATAACCATTTTTCATAGCCTTAAAGTACAATGAAGTGAACTGCTATTCTGTAAACTTGTTCTTTGGTTAGCAGACCGATTTCTTACCTACGTGATAAATGCACATTTTGTTTTTCCCATGATCTTAGCATCCCTTTAAGTTTTAGTAAGTATTGAAACAGAAAACCTGAGAAATATAAACTCGTCTTGTACTACGTCAGAAATTTCGAGTGATATATACTATCATAAGATTGTTGTAAAGCACAGAGAATGTAAACGTGTTAATGAGATGGTGAAGATTTGTAGCTTAGGTGGATGATTTTGATGGAGTTTTGTTCTCTGAGCTGGAGAATAAAACTCCATCGAAAACTTGTTAATCCCCTTGATAGCTGCCCTAACCTTTATAGAACTGCTTTCTGGCTGTATACTTTCTAGAGCTAACTGATAGTGTTTGACATTTCTTTAAACCTATCATTACTCAAAATTTTCATCCCAACAAAACTGAATTTTATATCCCTCCTATCAGCGTAACGATATTACAAAATCAGTCATATCATATATAAAATGACATGATTATGATCGGTCTGTTCATACTAAACAACTGCCTACTTGATGAATGACATGAATCAGCACTTATTTAACTGCTGAGAGGTTACTTAAGGCTTTATAAAATCCCGTGATATTAGAAATGTATGTACCTAAACATGCATGATAAAATATGTTTTGCAATACCTTCACAACAATAGGCAGACTGAACCTCGCCAGATTCCTTTATTTGTAATAAAAATGCCCCACTTACTCTGAACTTGAACCACGATCACTAGAATGACCACGCCGATTTGAGTGTGAACCATGTCGTCCCCAACTAGTTGATAAAACAATGAAAAATATTAAACACGTTATTGACTGTCAAAAGACTGTAGGAGTGACTTTGGTGTAGTTTACTCAAAACCATGAGCCAAATTTATTTCAATAGAGCAATAGTTACTAATGACTCTGATACTGTCGTGCTTAGGCACAAGATTTTGCTATGGTAAGTTCATTACTCACAAAATGCCTATATAACGAAATGACCGTTCTTACCTTTATATTTTTAGACTTAATGTTCTTAATGTATGTATCCATGTTACTTGAGTGGTGAATTAAATGATACTATTTCTCCTTTTTCCTGTTACTGAAAACAAATTAGTCACTCACAAAAACACTAGACATCAATCAGCCTAAAGCATCATTATTAAACCAAAGTTTAACCTTTCATAACAATATATAATAATTCAAGCAGGTACAGTATATTTTAATTTCCTTAGCACTAGCCGAAAGTGATCGATTCTATTCTTATCGCTCATAAAACTGAAATATACTTGGTCAATGTCCCAGTAAGATTGGAGAACGTCAGTCATTTCAAATTTATTAGTGGGTTCTGTTGAGATTAGTTACAGTGATTTACCAGCAAGAGGAAAACTAGATTAAACAAAGAAATCAAGATGAATACAGTATTTGTCTATAACAAAGGTAGTAAACGTTTTGGAAACTCCTTTCGTAAATAAAATAAAACAAATGGTCAATACGTTCCAGCGTTGGGGAATATTGGCATTCAAATCATATATACAATTAAAGGAAATATACTAGAAAGTACCATAATCATTTCAAAATAACCCATAAAAATTATCTCAGTTAAGGTTTAACACGAATAATGACTGCACATGTTTCATTGTAAACATGAACTGACATAAATACTGTTGTTGCATTTCAGCGAAAGAAACCAAGCTTTTAAGTTAAGCTGGCTATTCAGTCATTTTTGATGGCTATCTTCAGGTTTCAAGCCACAAAAAAGTATCTTTCATAGTTTATTGGCCCATAATAACTTTTCTACCAACACTGGATGACCAAGTGACTCATTTACTTAATTTTTCAAGATGATATGTAAGTACTTTTATGAAATACTCTTTTGTTTTCTGCATATTCTAATTGACGTGAATTTCAAGCAACCAGAAATATTTTCACTGTTCAAAAATAGTTACACAGGTAAAAATAGTGACCAAACGTACTTGCAACCCGGCCCTGAACCTCTGTAATTGCGTTTATCAATGTCAGAGTCATCCTGAAATAAGAAGATAACAAGAACTTAACATCAGACATGCAAATTGCTGAGTTAATATGAACAACGTAACTAAGGAATAAAATTTTGTCATCTTTTTTGTTATTTAAAGCAATAATCAAACTGCTTATTTTCTACTCAGTGGACATGACAATCAAGTTAGAAGTGATAAACGACCAAATAGATCAGTAAGAGTTTTGTTATATTTATGATTATTAGATGAGAGCTTTTACTTTGTAGGTTTCTACAAACTGAAGTATTATTAAAAGTAATCAAATAATGATAATATGATTGTATTGTCAGAAAATGCTTTAGATCCTTTTCTAGAATACTTCAATCATATGACCATGTGATTATTTTATCAAATGCAGTCATAATCGTAAGTGTGTGATCTATTGATGCAATAAAAATAACATCGGTGATAAACACAAAGACTATTTTCTTTCCACTTAGTGAGAACAAAGAGGAAAAAATCGTTCGTGACTTGTTTTCTACGAATGTTTAGAGCAAAGTACCAAAGTAGTAAGGAACTGTTAAGGATGTGTTGGCTAAATAATCATTGCCTCAACAGTTTACACTAATCGCTTTTGGGGTTGAAAAGCGTTTTCTATTGATGCGCCTTGTTGGAAAGCTTCGTTTTGAAAGAGCTGAAGAATAGAAGTCGGACCTTGTCTAAAAGTTTAGTATAGACCAAATAAAAACTGTGGGATTTTTATAAAACACCTGTACCAGCGATATTATCACTTCTTTTTCAATTTGGTTACTTTCCGTTGTAAAGGCCTCCAAACAACCATTTTATTTAGAAATGCAAAATAGCAAACTCTTTTACAAACACCTAAAGTTCAAAATTCCTTTCGCGCATAGTTTTTATGTTTGGTCCATGTTATTTGGGTAACGATCGGAACTAATTTTTAATTTAAAAAAGTCTACTGTTGTTAAAATCATCTGCGTGCCACGTTTTTGCGCATATTTATAACATTTGATACATTTACGCATAATATTACACGATTTTTAATAAATTCATGATGATAAGGGCAATTTAAAAGTGAGATAATATTCAAAAATGCATGTTGATATCTACTAAAGTAAAAGTGCTTAAATATGCTTACTCACCGAATCTGAGCCATTAAAATGTCGTCTTCCCGTATTCCAGCCTTGAGAGCCAGGCTGTTGATTATAGACATCCTGTCCATACCTTCCATTTCCTCCAGGCACACCGCCATAATAGTTTGGCTATGAGACGTTATATCAAAACATCGAAAAAAACATTTTTGAATTTTTAGTATTAACTGTGTGGTGGAAACATTCACCCACACGCACACGATTTTCTAGGAACATGTTTGTTTTATAGGCAGAGTTTTACCCACTCATTTTTAAGTACATAATTGAAATCATGAAGTGATAAATATGAGGTCATATCAATATCTTAGATTTATTAGGAGTTAAAGAATGCAGTTTCCAAGGGATAGTAATGAATTTGAGCAATGTCACTTTCGGTGTGTAAACACTGACTTTATTCATCTCGGTAACTGAGATGTTTTATTTCTTACATCTTGAACATTATCCGTAAGTGTTTTGAACGGAATACAGAGGTCAGTGAATAAATAGTGATTATATACAATATTTAATGCTTTTGCTAGTGGAACTTAAACACCATATCTACGAATATAACTGACATATAATTTTTTAAAGTAGAGTATTATTCGTTGGGAAAGTTTTAAAAGTTACTCAAAAACATATAGACCACGCAACTGTGAAAAGAGACTCACATTCATATTGCCATATCGAGGATCCATGCGATTATTGTAAACACCTTGACTTGGTCCAAAACCCGGATCTTGCAGATTAAATGTATTTTGACTGGCATCGAAATGACCGCTTTTGTCTCCCCTATGGAAAGGCATTGTGTGCAGTAGACGTATGGTTAGCGATAATGCATCCCCATATTTAAGTGCTATAAACAACCTTGAAAGAAACATTGCCCATTAAAACAAGTATATTGCAACAGAATCACACCACTGGTTCTTTTATTAACACAAATGGTATGATTCACATTTTTTAACACCAAGTTATATGATCAACTAACAGTCTCAGACGTTTCAAGTAAAAGCTGTGTGTTGAACTCAGCATGGAACACTTATTAATTAAAATCTATTAAATAAACTGTTAACCAATACATTTTATGATGGACAGTGAAATAGAAATTGTTTCAGATACTTAGTTTGTTGTAAAAGCTATGAAAATACTGAAAATCTAATTATAAGGTTCAGGAATACTGACATTTATTGCTCTGAATTATGTTTTGGTGGATTTTAGACAGCTAGGTGTACATTGTTTCATTAAGCAAGGCTTGTAGCAGCAAAGGAATGGAACGTTTCCGCTCATGTATGTTGTTTATTATGAGTTATTCAACTACTGAAGCTAACAAAGAATGGTCACGTTATATGTACATCACAAAGGAAGGCGATTTGATTGAATGTCTGGGATACCTGTTCCTGTCATCCAGATATTTCAACAATCCATCTATCCTTTGTTTCTTTCAACTGACCATTATATGAATTAATTGCACGACCTATTCAGGTGCATTTGTGAAAACTTTACGAGCTTTCGCTGTAGAAACCACGAAAGAGCACGATAGAAGTCATTGTGGTTGTTGCCAATATACATCGAAAAGAATGTGCATTATTCATTTGTCGATTTCTGAACTGCTAACATCTAATTAGCGATCACTCAATATTTATCGTCAGGATTAATGAAGAAATAAGAAACGGAAACTTGGTAAAATGGTTTTCACTGAGAATTCTATATTGCTTCCAAAATATAATTTGAAAAGAGCTAATAATAATGATCAAGGACTTGCTCGAGTTTATTGGAACTACCGTGACCTTTAGATAACATGAAAATCACACTTCCCGGTTGGTCCCATTTCGTCTTACCCATGTAGGATTGATAATTTGATAACAGTACGACACTATCAATACTATTATAGAAATACATTAGTATAAGCAGGTACAAAAAACGCGAAGTGACCATTGTCAAGTGCACTACCACTAAAGACGAGATAGAACTATACCTGCCAAACCTAAATAGCGTATACAGGGATATCAATTAAGTAGAAGAATATCTGACTTAACTATAAGGCAAGATGAAGCACTTCAACATTTCGTGTCGGAAGCCGACCCACAAAGAACAAATTCGCAGTTTGAGTAGCAAAAAACTCATAAAACCAACTACATAGAAACTTTATTCGAAGCACACTTGCGTGACAGGAAAAGGACATATCCCCACTTATGTCGATGCATACGAACAACTGCAGACACAAATTTGACCGGAAAAATATTAAAACCTTGTATAGTGGGAGTTCATAAAGTACAAGATGATTTCTAGAAGCTCTGCACTCAAATCAATTAGCAATCAAGAAACTTATTGATGTTGATTCAATCTGTCAAACGATCCTAAAAGTCATGAAGAAATTTTGAGCTAAGCATCAAATCAAAGGTAGGTACAGTAAGAATAAACAGGAAGATAGTGACAGGTTAAAGGTCAAAAATAAGCAGTCAAGACCGAGGTCTACAGAACATGCTGTGAATCATAAATGGAACAATTCGAACACCTCACTTTTACTTGAAGTTTGTGCTGATGATGTCCTTTAGGATGACGGTGAAAGCTCCACGACCGAACCATTGAACTCAGAAAACAAAAATGTTACTAAATCATCTACCCAAACGACGAATCTTCTGCACGACTTTCAAACAGTCAAAAATTTTTTATATTCATTAACAGAAAAACTTACGGAAATCCGCATTTGGATATTTTCCACACTATTTCTCCGCGAATTAATGCAGATTCTGCTCAATGATGTTTAAAAAAATTGATGCTTATTTTTGCAGTTTTATTATCCGGTTGTTGATATCAAGAATTAAATTTCGGTCACCCTCCGAAGATGCTTTAATTAATTTTCGATTTTTATGCAAAAAGACAAGTTCCTGTTTGTTAAAGACATTGAATGCACATCAGAATTTATATTCTCTTTACCCAGCAACAAAGGATTCCGGCTGCATAAATTTATTTTAAGTAAGTCTCTTCAGTAAACATTGTAATCATAGCGTTTAAAAGTTATGATTGTTGCAAATGAATCTCCGCACAAGTTCTTGATTCATAAGTTTATAGGTTACAAAATGCCCTTTTTGGTAAGCACCAGTTTTATTAACGAATACGTTTTGAAAGACTTAATCACTGTAAACAGTGATAAATCAAATAAATCGAATTCTGATTGCCTTATTGCACAGTGAATCATTCGTCTATACTAGGTGAATTATTATGTGACGCTATGTGATAACCTATGATGTTTTGCTTCACGCACTTTAATGATTTGGAAATTATCATGATATGTAATGTTACCAAATAATGTATAAAAAAGTTCATCTGAATAGATTTGTATATAGTGCTCACTGATGACCATAATAAACAACCTGTAATTGAAATTGTTTGACCGAATGAAAATAAAACAAAAATTAATCCTCTTTTCAGAGCTGGTCCTGTAAAAATGTCTATCATCAAATCATTTTCTCCAACACTAAGAAAATAGAATTTATGACAACCGAGTCATTGAAATGACGATTCTAGTAATGTCAGATTTCCTTATGTTCGACGCTACCTACAATATTGCTTGTAAGTAGTATGTAGCGGAACATGACGTTGACGTCGTCGCAGTTATCAGACGGGGAGAGGAGTTCCAGTACATCGATAACACTTATTGAACAAACGAGAAGATAGTTTGGACTGCAGAGCACACCGTAAGATCCAAATGTATAATCGAAGGTTTTATATATAAATGTTATATAAATGCTTTGCAATTTCTCAGTGGGAAACTCATCTGGACTCAGTCTTCTTCTACATTCTGAGTTAAGTAAATTAGTCTCAAAGTATTCAACATCATACTGCGTGAAACCTCCAGCGTCTACACAGAATTGAAAGGGGATTTTAGTTATAGCACAACCGTTAGAACGTCAAAGGTGATGAACTTTTATCTTTATAGGTTTCTTTGCCTTCCAGTGAATGTTTCACTCAGCTTACACTTGACTATATTGTAACGGATTGATCAATTGAATTTTTTGATGTCTCCATTTATTTCCTGTATTTTTCTTGTTTTGTGCCATGTTTTCCATAAAGTTCAGATCAGATAGTAACCTACAAACTTTGTTACTAGGGTCAGTATTTCAGGCACTGTGGTGGAACGTTATCTTGTCTGACATCACAATAACAGTACTAAGCTGGCCTCATACCAACTCCATTTTCGTACTAATAACGCAGTAAAATGTATTTATTAATTCCAACCCGCATAATAAAATGTCTGATATACTTTTAAATGCATTGAAGTGTAGGCTTCCTATATGACTTAAACATTCTTCGAAAAGTGTTGTAAAAGTACACATGACACAAATTGCCTACTGTGTGAGTAATTTAGTTTATTTTACTTTATTCTGATAAACACTTAACACATGTGTAGTTACTTTTCAGCTAAAAAAATTTTTACCTAACACACTCAATAGTAATAAAATCTTTTGTTTGAAAATTACCAAATAATAAAAACAAATCAATAACGTTAATGTATTTTTAACGAAGAAAACTGTAAAGACTTTAAAATGCTTTTTAAAATTAACATGAGTTCATCTAACTAAAAGTTTAGTTTAGCCCTGAATTCAACATACATATATCAAAAGTACGAATAGTATATCTCGACCTATATCAGAAATCATACTCACAAGACTTGAAACCTTGAATATTATGTAAACAGATTAAAATGCTCGTTATTGAGCTATATACTAATATAAAGAAGAGTAAAACAATAAAGACGTACTAAAAGTATGAAACTACCTGGTTGTATTTAGCAATAAATCACTGTGAAACGACTATGTAAGAAGTATTAAGGATAGACAAACGTTCTCTGTAGGTATATGATGATTAGGAGTATTTAAATTATAGTACGAACCAAGAATCCCAGAAATAACATAATCGAATCAAGAAGTACTAGATAAGCACGAACGAATGTACTGTATTTGGAATTCGAAATCAAGCATTCAACAAGTACAAAGGAATCATTAGTTCATTCAAACACCACAAGGTAGCTTACCATATTTATGAAGTTCGTCATGTAAATTAGGTATGCTATCTAATAGAGAAAAACGTATATAAAATTGGTCAAATCTGAAGTTCTCATCACTTTTTTAAATCATTTCCTACATCTCAATACTGCTTTAATGGAAACAACCTAATTGAGATTTCTAAAGCGTTGGTAATTTTGATAACCTTGTTTAAAAATTTATTTGATAGAATACTTAAATGTATCATTCATTTCTTTAAAAAATTGTGTCATCATAGTGGTTTGCAGATATTTCATTAATTCATTTATATATAGTTTTTCTCTTTTATTAACTTCTATAAAAAATAACTTAGAGACCGAAAATCTTACAATAATATTTTATCATTTCATATTGTATATTTTCAAAGAAAATAAACAAAAAGTTGATCAAAAAGTACATGTTTACTAAGAAATAGAAAATTAGTGAGTAAATGCAGAAATCGAAATAAACTTAGTGATCATGTATTAATAATTCAAATTATCAGAAGGGGTTTTGTGAAGATTATAGTAATTTCAATAGTTGAGATCATGATTCAATTGAATCTAGAAAACCATGGAAAACCTGAACGCACTGGACGGCCGTTTCGTCTTATTGTGGGACTCCTCAGCAGTGCGCATCTACGACCTCTCCCACTGCGAGATTCGAACCCAGGACCTACTGGTTTCGCGCGCGAGCATTTAACCACTAGACTACTGAGACGGCCTCCAGCGGTGTTAATGTCTAACTTCAACTAATCCACGAAGTTGAGAGACATATCCACC